TTTCATGCATTCATAAGACAGCAGTAGATAGATAAATTATCCCTTCCTTTTATATTACTTTACATCTTAAGATCCTTTAGATAAAATTATCTGTGACCCAATTTGACTCTATCTCATCAATAACATCATAGAGCTGCTTACATGTAATCAGTAGCTGTACTGGTACATGTACCTGTCTTCATTATACCCAGCTTAAGTGCCCATCGTTTGATGAAATGTATCCATTTCTCATTTGGGGAGTATTTCCTAGGAAATTTTGCCTTGAAGAGTGAGAAACCCCATAGTGTATCAATGATTTGACTGAAATATTGAAACAACCATTTAAATATTATCCATATTTTTTTTTTTCACAGACTTCATTACATTTCTGTGTTGAGTGCTTTTCAGGGAAACAATAATATTTTATCTATGTAATGGAATTCCAATGTTTTCCTCGTCTTGGTTTCACTTGACAGCGAATAACTGACTAACTTGTTCACACTCTGTCTAATGTCTGCGCCTTCAAAGAAGAGGCACATTAATGGGATTTTTCTCATTAACAGGCCACATATACTGGCCTATTGTACTGTTGGTTAGATAGCCATGGTATTATTTGGACATGCATCTCAATATTTCATCCCAAAGACGCATAATCACTTTCGAATTTAAATATTCTTACATAGTAATATTAAAATTTGTTAATAATTTCTTCTTCTGAGATTCATGTTTAAGTTTTTCTTTACCATAGCGTTTTCTCATTGACATAGTATTCAGTCAGGCTAGAGTGGAATTTTAGTACATACGGTACAACTTAACATAAAATAGTAAAGTGACAGTTTTTGTTTTTATTTGCTATGAATTATTCAACTTCTCAGTAGGTCAAACGGACAGCATTTCTATTAAACTGATTTGAAAAATAAAATAAAGGGAGGCATATTAATTTATTTTATAAGACTTGATGACAGAAAATAGATATTTGTGTCCGTTTTTATAAATTATCTCCTTTTTTATAAATTATCTCCTTTTTTCTCCAGACAGTTTAATTGACCATATTCTCTTGTGTAATGGCAATGGTTGGCCATATATCTACTTTCAAAGAGTCTGTGGCTGTACAAAAGTCAACAATTAAATTCTATATTTGATTTTAGGAAGACCAAAGTCACTGTGATTATCTGTCTCATTTGCCCCAGTGAAATGCTCACTGTGTTTCCCTGTCTCATTTGCCCCAGTGAAATGCTCACTGTGTTTCCCTGTCTCATTTGCCCCAGTGAAATGCTCACTGTGTTTCCCTGTCTCATTTGCCCCAGTGAAATGCTCACTGTGATTATCTGTCTCATTTGCCCCAGTGAAATGTTCACTGTGATTCCCTGTCTCATTTGCCCCAGTGAAATGCTCACTGTGTTTCCCTGTCTCATTTGCCCCAGTGAAAATGTTCACTGTGATTCCCTGTCTCATTTGCCCCAGTGAAAATGTTCACTGATATTAACCTTTCTGATTCTCTAAAAATGAATTAATGAATTTTTAAAACAAACACATGATTTTTAAAAAGGCAGTCATTATGTATGAAAGATCCAAATTGTTAAGTTTTGTTACAATACAAGTACATGTCGGTTGTTTCTGACTATGCGTAAGTCATCTTTGTGTAGGATTATCATCCTTCCATATTGAATGAGCTGCTTACTTCATAAAAAAGGGAAATAGTTTAGATTTCTTATTAGATGGTGAATGGCTGGTCCTAATTTCTTTTGTTATTACTTGATTAAAGATTTAGAAAATTTCTTGTACTAATGTGAAGTAATCAAAAATTTATTTCCTATGAACATTTCCAATGTTATTTCCGAAAAATGAATCACACCGATTTCCTTGTTATTGTATTCATTGAATCTATGTGTTAGTACTTTGAACTGTAAAGTTTACTAGTGTCACCTCTCACAACGTAAACTAGAATAATTTTGTTGATTCAAAATCGTTGATTAAGTAAGATTTGTAGCACATAGCAAAATTTGTAGAAAAGTACATTCAGTACGTATGCACAAAATGTTTCACCAAATTTTTAGCGAGGAGGAGGGGGTGATAGCATTTGAAAGGTTAAGGAATGTTTATGGTTGATTAATCTATGCGTGGTACAACTAATGACCTGTCTTACTTCCCCTAATTAACCTCTTGTAATGATTGCTTTGATAAATTTGGCGGAAATCAAACAGCTGAATTTGAAATGTTGCATTCAGTGTTTATTGTGAATATTTTGTAAGTGTTTGTAGCTGTGTCACAGGAATTTTTGTACAAAGGTTATTTGTACATTGTGACAAAATTTTAGTTCATCTTGGGGTGGACATCCAGGAATTTTCACTGCCTGGCAACCATCATGGTGAAAACAAAGGCAGAAAACTCTCAGAAAACTGTAATTTGTTGATAATAAGATAGTATTTGACCTGAAAATATATATATATATCAGTGTACCCATGTTTTCCTTGAATTACTTGTTATGTAGGATAGAATTATTCCTTTGCTCCTCGTTCAATGGTTCTGTCATATTGCGGCCGTTTCGCTGTAATATTTATGAACGCTTCCTATTTAATTCCAGCATTTTAGAATAAATTTTGACGGCATTTCAACATTACCTTGTGAATTCTCAAATAAGTGTAAATAAGACTAGTACGTTATAATGAAACCGAATAAAACATTTATTGTATGAAAAATTGAATTGGAGTGTATGATGCAAGGTCATATAAAAGTGATTGCGCTTGTAGAATAAAACATGGCTTTGAGTTGACCTGAAACTGTTGGAATTTATTATTAATAAAATTACCTGCCTTTCGCTGTTTAAGTTTTGTTCCCAGATCGGCTGACTAGAAGAGATTACCTATAGTTCAAATTTCATTCCCAACAGTAGCATTTTATCTTGCACATATGTTTCAATGCCGAGATGTCGTTTCTGGTAATAATTGTAATTACTCACCATTTTATGTTGCTATCTTGAATTATGTAGTTTAATTTAAAATTTTTTTAAAAATGTTCATTATAGGTGAGTGTCTGAAATGATCTAAATTTGTTCATGGGTCGAATTTACTGTAAAATACTTTATTTTCCCTTTGAATTAATTTTCGCTATTTTCGCTGAAAGAACGATTTTGTGAAAATAAAATCCAGTGAATATACCTTTTTTCCTATATTTACATTCAACTCGTCAAAAATCAGTGAAAATAAATTCCACACAAAACACCCAATAAGCCTTTTCAGCGAAAATTAATTCCAGCTAAAATAAAGTATTCTACAGTAGTATATGTCCATTGAAAAAATAAACTCATATTTTATAAACATTTTTAACAGTACCCGCTGATAATGTAAAATTAAGTTTATACATTCAAAAATTAATGTAGAAATTAGAAAAAAAATCATGGCGTGAGTAAGCAATGATCAAAATGTGTAGGATGTGTTACAATTTGTATTGCATTCTGGGTAGCCACACCCTTATATTCAACTGCATGTGTTTCAGGCTTTTAAAAAATAATTTCATGAAATAAAAACAAAAAAATAAATTGTCTTTTATCATACATACATGTAGTATTTACCAGTTACTTTGAGTATGTGTATGGTTTTTATTACTTTAGAGGTAATTGTGGTTAAAACTTAGATCTGCTAGCTGGCTAATTAAATCGTATTGCTTGATGCCCTCTGGGCTATGTAACACCATTCTACTAGGCTAAATTAAATGACTCTTGCTAGCCTGCTTAGAAATTGTGTATCATGCGGTAAACATTATCTCTTTCTAAATGAACTCTGTCGTTTCTAACCTGTTTTGTTTACAGATAGAAGGTTTTTGGTTGACACATGATTGTGCAACTCTTTGTGGAATATTTTCTAAAAGGAAAATATTTTAGCACAACTCAAAATACAGCAGATTTCTGTGGTCATCGTGAGCATTATACTTTTCAACATGAGTTTTATGGTGCCAATAGTTTCAGGAATTCATGAATATGATTCTGATGAAGTAATATGTTTAGGGTCTTCTCTTTGAACCCAGCTGGTCATCATGTCAGTGTTTTTGTCTGTCATATGCGAGTAATACAGTGAAGCTATCAGCAAATTTATTTTTGCCTCATTACTTGTCAATAAATTCAGTCAAATGATGAATGATTAGTAGAACCTATAGCTTGCTTGAGGTGACGTACTCGTCGATTATACCCACCAACGTTCACTGCGTGATCATAGGTTTCTTATAGTCTAGCTCACTCAATGTTACACGCAAGCATTTTTTAATTACACTTAAAACCTCTTAAATGAAAATCCATTTACGTCAGCAAAACCTACATATTTTAAATCCATGCATTAGTCTGTCATAATGTATTTTGATGATTTGACCGTCTGTATGAACTTTGACTCGATCAAACCAATGAAACCTATCACCGATTTCCCACACTTGTGAAGGCCTCTTAATTTGCAGGCTTTGATGTGTTGTTCAGATTGAGTTGTTTTCCTATTAATTTTACGAGTTTCATTCGTGGTAACACCTGCCCTGTTTGATACATATCTCTATAATATCTGTATATTTAATTATTCCACGTTGACACAAACGGATATTACAAGGTGTTCAACTTGAGATTGCTTTTTTATTGGTGTTTCTAATTAATTTTTGCAGTTAAATTTTCATTGGCAATTATAGGCAGTAGTGTATTAGTATTAAAAAAAAATTATATTAACCTGGAAATGAGATGCTGTTATTATTTTTATCACTGTGACTTGATTTAATATGCTTGGGATGACTAACTTTTCTCAAAAGTAACCATTGTGCCCTCAAAGTCAATATGACAAATCACTGATGCTAACTGATTTTGATATTGAACAGAATATTGATATTTAAACTAAATAAGAGGTAACATGAGTTTTTTTTCTTGAATATCTTTCTCCAGAAGTTACCAAAATGACCAATTGACTCCCTACAATAATCCATACACTGTTGTGTTTTCCATAAAAACTTATGTGCATAAAATTGATATGTCTTAATGTGTTTTTTTTTCACAGCCAACCAAGGCCCAGTGTCGACCATCATAAATCCAAGTTATGTGAACAGTTTGGACTTACAGGCCAATCAACAGTCAAATGGAGAAAAACCAACAACCATGGCCATTGCTACAGATGACGCCAATAGGAATTTTTCCTCCTCTGCAAAAGAACATTTCACAGCCGCTTTGGAAAATGATCTTCGAATTATTGCTCTGGAGCAAATTGTGGGCCCAGACTTGGACTTCCCAAATCTGTATAACCTGGAGAACGCTGCCAATAGCAAACGCAACAATAAGAGCCGAAAAAAGTATGCGACGACTGATTTATCCGCAATGGGAATCGATTTGACAAAAGATCCCAGCGTTAACTTTCATTCGCCTGATGGTGACACTAGCTCAACGACAACAACTGAAGATGAGAGCGATGATTGTGAGAAAAAGAAGAAGAAAGCAGACTTGTTTGCTGATATTGACTTTATTGATGATGGAGTTGAGGAGGTAGAAGATTCCGAAGAAGATGAAGAGGATGAGGATGAAGAGGAAGATGATGACGTAGAGACGGATGAAATTGAAGAAGATGATGGAGGGGATTGTGAAAGTGATGAGACTGGAACAGTTGATGAGGACGATGATAAAGTTTATTATGAATCTACTGATAGAGACAGTGAACTGGAATGTATTGATCCAGGTACTGAGTCCCTGAATGAGGACAATGACACTGCAACATTAACCAGAAATTCTGGTCCAGGATTTCTAAGTTACTACGCTAGCTTAGAATCTTCGGCTGCCAGATACATTGGCATTGGATCTGGCGAGAGCCCGGCATCCTCAAGTGTACAAAGTGTTTATTCCGATTCTGAAGTGGACATGAAAGGTGTGATGTACGAACCATTGCAACATGAAACACCTTACTCAGAACAACAAACCACAGATAGCAGCACGGACTGTGAGTCCACCTATGAAATGCTCTATAAAAGTTTTAGTATGCGGCACAGCCAAGAACGTGAACTTGAGGAAGAGCAAGCCTATCTTGGCAGAACATTATCACCTTATGAGGGACAGCCAGACTTTGGCTATGCCAGTGAGACGTCCTACGAGGACAAAACTCCCGGCGACACCATTCGCGATAAGTGTTTGAGCGGTAACTCTGACCTTTGTACTGTACCAAATAAACAATCTAAAGGTGGATACAATCAACATGGTGCCTCTTCATCCACTTCCGCTATAACTACAAACTCCACCTGTCTCAGTAAAGGCATCACCAAGAGCCTGTCTCTGCCTCCCGGATGGCGAGAGGTAACGGACAGTTCGGGAACCTATTACTGGCACGTGCCTAGCGGTACAACACAGTGGAGCCCACCATCTCCAGTGCCACAATCAAAAGCAAAGCATCAGGCAGCTGTACCAAAACGGTGGTCAACGGGACAGGTAAGGTTTCTTTTATTGTGTTCTCTGTGTTATTGCTTAAAACTTTGATGAAAGGAAAGAGAGGGTTTAGTAGTTGTGACAGCGTTTATTTGATGTGGTAATGTGAGTGTCTTTGAGATGTTGCTGTTTGTGTAATTGCTTGGTAATGGTAGCAGAATGGGATTCCTATTATGTTGTCTTATGATACAGGATGGCGTATTGATTATTTTCATGGAATGGTTAAGCTGCATTTGGTGCAAACATTAGTGAAATCTGTCTGTCCGTATGTCATTGTTAACTATGTTGCCACAGAGCATGAATTATTTCTTACATGTGCAACAATTAACGGCATCTTTCCAATAAAGTCATGTCTTTTGTACATTGAAATGCTGCTATGATGTGCATTGTGGACAGATGAAAGGAAGGCTTGTGCTCAGCATCAACAATGTTTTGATGACTAGTCATTCATCGTGTGAAACACACTTTTTAAGAATTTACACTATTGTATTTGTTCTATTAAAGGTGCGTGCGTAAATGACAGATCCAAATGAGACGTATATTTCAATGATCTAGCCTAGAATAAATGCAGTTTTCAGTTTATATGTACTTCCCTTGGGGATGCATTTCAGAGCAAATATGCTGTTCTTAATGATGAACAACCGCAGAAACAAAGTTTTCTTGAATGACCTAGCTGTCACACATTTACGTCATTTCTACGTCAAAACAGCACGTCATTACAAAAGGGCATGACTTATTCGATAGGTGCTTTACAATCTGAACTGGGAATTTGTAACGAAAACCTATATTAATAATTACTAATTGTTTCACAGAATAAATATGAATGATACAGATATTGAAGTTATTACTTTACTTATCAATAATTTGGTTGGATAATTGAAACAAGTCTTGGTTTGTGATGTTTCCCTTGTGAGTGGCAAGCATCCTACATAAAAGGATTCCTTGTCACATTGTTTGCCATGTCTATCTGTCTCTACGTTGATACCTTCATATAATTGAGATGCCCTTACACCGTATAAATAGAAACCAATTTGGTAGCCTATTTTCTGATAACGTAGTTGTTTCTTTATAACAGACAACAACAGACTTGAAAATTGAATTGTTAGGATATTATAAATTAATTTTCCAGCGGTACTTTAATGTCTGATCAAATAAAACTCGTCTTTTGACAGTCAAAAACTTTGTAATATTCAGCATAAATTGGGACCTGATGGCTGCTATGGAATTGTGGTCTTTTATAAATTGTATGAATATAGGGAGTATTAAAATACAATGAGGGGTGGTCAGTAATTCTAATTCACAGTTAAATAATTTTGAAGGTAATTTATTGCTAAATTTTAGTACTTAGAGTGAATTTCACATTCCAAGTATACAGTATATCAAATTTGAAATCATTTATAAATAAATTAGGGAAATACAAGGAGCCTTGACATTTTTCAGTCACTATGTTGAAATTTGTCAACAAATTTATAATTCCAAAACTACCCGTATCCTCTGATTTTGATAATTTGTTATAATATTAAATTTGAGTGATTAATAATTCATAGTGGGTTTAGTGTTTGCTCACCGGTAGTGAATGCTGCGTTTGTAGGTTGGTGATATTGAGGAATGTTGAATAACATTTAGTAGTAGCTGTATGTTGACACCATATCCAGAATTTGTTGATGGTTGCTTGCTGTTTTGTTCATGCTCGTCACCATCACAGTTAATATCAGATTGTTGTTTTGATAAACAACGCTGATTAAAGTTAGATTTCAGTGATAACAAATTCTAACATTCTATCATCTATAGTATGTGCTTTAATTTGAAAATGAAATGAAAGAAAATTACAGAAAAAAATTGGCAATGAAATAAAAACTGCGAAACTGCATCCAAATTTTATTTATTTGATACAAGCATGTATAAGTAAGGTTGAAATCTTCAGCTCAGAAATTGTTGTCATGTTTTATATCATCCATCTGTGTGATATGGAATAAAATCTGTAATTATAAGTTTTCTCCCACTTCTGTTTTTCTCCAATTTCATTTTTTCCCAGCATTGATATAAATTTCTTTCACTTCCTTATTAACTTAGTGCCCGTGGGACATAAATATGTAAAATTGAGTAGATATTGAATTTCAAACCAATTTCCATTTGAAAACCTCCTCCTATATGGCAAGTGGTACAAAATGTATAAGCCATTTGAACAGGTCAAGGAGAAACGTAAAAACTTCAGAGTGAGGAGGAAACAAGGAGAAATCTTCTGTTTATGTGCATTTTATTTTTAAGTAATCAATTTTGCTTACATTGTTTCTGTAATACAAATGAAATGAGGAATACTTCTTAGGAATGCTTAGAATTAGGTGTAAAATATATTTCTGTTGTGTATTACATAATAAGTTGATACACTATTTGTCCTGCCTTGAGCAAAGCAGTGTGTTATTTAACAATTAATATTTTGTTAATAAACCTACATAATTATTCAAAACTTTTGATGACTACCTGGAGGCAATGGGAAATTATGTCCATTTAATCCAAAATTAGCACAAAAATTATCGAAAAATGTATTAAAATAGGCAATTATTATAGCAAAATGTTTGGTGGGAAAAATTATGGCATTCAAAATATTTAAAAAAAATCATGCCATTTAGAATTGTGGTAAATAAAAATGGGATTAAAGTTGATAGTTTTGCTTTTAATATAAATTTTAGCATGAAACCTCTATAATGGTATTACTTTAACTTATTCAGGAAACTTCTGGTACTTGATTTTTCGAGAACAAAATCATTTCGTTTTAAGAAACCTTGAAATGTAGCATTACCGATTCCATTGGGAGATCTGCACTTAAATGTAAATGCTGGTTTTTGTTCCATTTGCTCCACGTTCCAATTGTAGAGTTACTAAAACACTTCCGTTGGTTTTGCTCCAATCTTCCGAACACCTGAATTGAGTATGAATTTCTCTAAATCATGCAATCTAGATTGTCATGTGCCCCCTTCCCAAATAGAATTAAGCATTTGTGCATCATGACAATATCACCAAATTTAACAGAAATAAAGTGAGTGACTCAAATTTGCATTGAATAATCCGAATTGTAGAACACTAGGTGCTGTTTACATTGCATAGTTAGCTGTCTAGGTGCTGTCTATATGTAAGTAGCCTGCTGCCTAGGTCCTATTTACATAATGTACATTGTATATCAAGCTGCCTAGGTGCTGTTTACATTGCATAGTTAGCTGTCTAGGTGCTGTCTCTATGTAAGTAGCCTGCTGCCTAGGTGCTGTTTACATGTGTACATTGTATATCAAGCAGCCTAGGTGCTGTTTACATTGCATAGTTAGCTGTCTAGGTGCTGTCTATATGTAAGTAGCCTGCTGCCTAGGTCCTATTTACATAATGTACATTGTATATCAAGCTGCCTAGGTGCTGTTTACATTGAATAGTTAGCTGTCTAGGTGCTGTCTATATGTAAGTAGCCTGCTGCCTAGGTGCTGTTTACATGTGTACATTGTATATCAAGCAGCCTAGGTGCTGTTTACATTGCATAGTTAGCTGTCTAGGTGCTGTCTATATGTAAGGAGCCTGCTTCCCAGGTCCTGTTTACATTTTACTCGGTGAGTATATTCACAAAGGCTATGTAGACTCAGTATTATGTAGATTGAAAAATATGTAAATAATGTTACACACTGCAACTCCCGGTCTTTTTATTCACAGTCTAACAATCACAACAAATATTGACATACTTCATTTATACTGAGGACTTTCCTGTAATCAGGAAATTCTTTCTTTCTTTGCAGCTTTGTACATTCTCAATATCAATCTAATATAATTTCCCATTAAAACATATTAGAGTAAAATAGTTACAGTCCTTGAAAAGAATTAATTAGTTCTCATATTCATAATCTAATCAAACTTTGTCATTTTTAGTAGTAATTCAATATGTTCTGAAGGACTTATAAATTTATCTATAATTAGGTGCAGCATATAACTTATTTTGCTTTTCATAAATTTGTCTATCTTCTGCTGAAGTCATCAGTAGTTGTTTTATGGTACTGAATACTTCTTTAAAGTATTATGTACAATTGGTTTTAAATATGCTATTTTTAATAATCACTGAAATTTGCGATTTGTGAAAAAAAATCTCTCAAAACAAGAGATAAGCTAATATGCAAATTAGCTGATTAACATGCAAACATGGTATTGCAAATGATATATTCTTCAATACATATTATTGTTTTGCTTTAGCTTGTAGTTAAAAGGAACTTACATAAAATATTAAAATAATGATGTCATTCATATTTATATCAAAATAGGAAATTCATATGTGGAAATGAATTAATATGCAAATCAGCTATCTTAGATACATATCATTTCAAACTGTTAAATATATAAGAGAATGATTATAATATTTCCCTCTTATTTCATCAAACCAATAAAACACATAGCTTTAAGAGCTTCATGTGAAGTATAAGAAATATGAACTTTAGCATTTTTCACTTCTGAATCAGAAAACAAAAATGGCACCAGGTCATATCTGTGTTGGAAAGTTTTATTTGAATCAGTAAGAGTTTGTATGAGATTGACAAATTAGAGTATAATGTCAAGTACATTAGTGTACATGTGTGTGTATGTGTGCGTGATACAGATGCAAACTGACAGAATACACACTGAATCATTGCAAATTAATGACAGGAGAGCTCCACTAGTGAAAATCCTGAAATGGCCTCTTTTTGAAAACACCTGAAATCTGGTTCTCATTTTATCCCTGAATATTGTTGTCAATTGATTTTTTTTGAAAACAAATGTTCGATTTATTAAAAGTTGAATTGGAATTTTCTGACTACCACCTGATGACCTGTAGGTGACCCATTATTATCATTTTGGTTTCATTTCATTACGAGAATAAATATGAATCTTTTTGTTTATCAACTATTATCATCATGATCAGCTAGAAATTATAAAACCTGTCATTTTAGTTTCGAAATTATGACTTCATTTTGTGAAAGAATCTTGATTTGAAAAAC